GCCAGAATTCTACCAACCTGGATTCTCATACGAATATTAAGGGGAATGCTTCCAGATATGCTCCTACCACATGGCTGTTAGGTTGCCTTTGGCCCGGGATAATTTATTTACATCGGTGTTATGTGATAGAGACCTTTTTTCGGACACTGTTTGTTCTATGAGCATGCCATTGGTCGGCTTGAGTATAGGGAAGGAGTCTGGGGACGCACGGTCCCTGCTCTCTCTTTGTCGCAATGCAGGGCCGCGTCGTGGTGTGAGTCGTTCGGCTCCTCGTGGTCGTGAGTCGTTCGGCGGGCCGCCTCGTCCTGGGTGAGTCGTTCGGGCCCCTATTGTGAGTGTGGTGAGTCGTTCGGGGCTATCGTCGTGTCGGTCGGTAGTGAGTCGTTCGGGCCCCTCGTCCTGGTGTGAGTCGTTCGGGCTCCTCGTGGGGCCTCTTGGGGGCCTCTTGGAGCCTCTTGGGGCCTCTTGGGGGCCTCTTGGGGGCCTCTGGGGAGCCGCTTGGGGGCCTCTTTGGGGCCTCTTGAGGCCTCTTGGGGGCCTCTTGGGGGCCTCTTGGGGGCCTCTTGGGGCCGCTTGGGGGCCTCTGGGGGACCTCTTGGAGGCCTCTTGGGAGCCTCCTGGGGGCCTCTTGGGGCCATCTTGGGGCCTCTTGCGACCTCCTCAGAGTCGCAAGTGAGAGCTGCGCCCTGAGGATGACAAAATGAGCCCAAAACCTTTGTAAAATCAATGATTTTGCTACTATGACGGAAGATGAGCGCGACCCCCTCAGGACGCCAAAATGGGGCCACAACCGTAGTAAAATCAATGATTTTGGCTTCAAAGAAGAGCAGAGGGGCCAAACTCGGCCCCCCCGTCGGGGCCAGAATCCTCGTGAGGGTCGTCGTTTTTTGGCCCTCCGAGGAGTCGAAATGGACCCCCCTGACACCGCCCTGGACTCCCTGTCCAGGTCCAGGGGGAGGGGGTAGGGGGAGGGGTAAACCCCTCCCCGAAGGGGAAGATGGGGGTTTGAGAACAGAGAGAGCTCGCTGAACCACTCACGCCCAAAGGGCTGGTGGGACTACACGGAAAGGGCCTCTGCGGGGTCGTGCTTGTCTCCGAGAGCACATGGCCGGTCGTCTCCTCGGGAGGAGGGGGGGGAGGATGAGGGAGGAGGGAGAGGAGGATGGAGGACGAGGAGGGGAGGGGTACGAGAGGGTCAGAGCTCCTCTCCCAAGCAAGAGCACGACAGATAGGCATGCTGGTAGCCCCTGTCACGGGAGACTGGACTCCTCGCGCTTCGCGGGGTGCACGTTTGGGGCGCGCAGGGCATGGGCATTTTCAGGGCTCCGAGGAGCATTTCGATGCCTCTTGGGTGCATCCTGGGGGCATATTGGGGTCTCTTGGGAGCTTCTTGGGGCCATCTCGCGACCTCTTGGGGGCGTTTTGGGCGGTCTTTGCCCGTTCTGGAGCTGTCTGGCGCGTTCGGATGCCGTTTTGGTGGCCTCTCTGGAGCCGTCTTGGGGGCATCCTGGGCCACCTTGGGGCCTTCTCGGGCCGTCTTAAGAACCTCTTGAGTGCTTCCTTGGTCGTCTTGGGGCCCTCTTGAAGGGCTCTTGGGCCGTCTTGGGGCGATCTCGCGGCCCTCTTGGGCTATTTTCTTAGACGCTGTAAAGCTGATGTTAGCTGGCGTGGGCCCTGAACAGAAAATTATTGCACTGGATGTGTGGTCTATGTGTTGCAAGCTATGTCGCGTCAGCTATGTGGTGCCGTATGCGTTGGGCTAGCTAGAGGCCGCCACGAAGCGGCCACGGGTGGCAACGTGGCGAAACCTCGCTGGTCCCGCCAAGCGCACGAAGAGGTCGCGAGGCGGCCACGGGAGGCAACGTGGCGAAACCTCGCTGGTCCCGCCCAGCGCACGTAGCGGCCACGAGGCGGCAACGGGAGGCAACGTTGCGAAACCTCGCTGGTCCCGCCCAGCGCACGCAGAGGCCACGAGGCGGCAACGGGCGGCAACGTGGCGAAACCCCGCCAGAGCCACCCAGCGCACGAGGCGGCCACGAGGCGGCAACGGTTGCGAAACCTTGCCAGACCCGCCCAGCGCACGAGGCGGCCACGGGCGGCAACGTTGTGAAGCCTCGCCAGACCCGCCCAGCACACGAGTCGGCCACGAGGTGGTCACGGGAGTCAGCGTTGCGAAAGCTCGCTGTCCTGCCCAGCGCACGAGGCTGCCACGAGGCGGCCCAGGGAGGCAACGTGGCGAAACCTCGCCAGACCAACCCAGCGCACCAGGCGGCCACGAGGCGGCCACGAGCGGCAACGTGGCCAAGCCTGGCCGGACCCACCCAGCCCACGAGGCGGCGACGAGGCGACCACGGGCTGCAACGTTGTGAAACCTGGCCGGACCCACCCATCGCACGAGGCGGCGACGAGGCGACCACGGGCTGCAACGTTGCGAAACCGCGCCGGACCCACCCAGCGCACGAAGAGGCCGCGAGGCGGCGACGGGGCAACGTTGCGAAACCTCGCCGGACCCACCCAGCGCACGAGGCGGCCACAGGCGGCAATGTGGCGAAACCTGGCTGGACCAGCCTAGCGCACGAGGCGGCCACGGGCTGCAACGTTGCGAAGCCTTGCCAGACCCGCCCAGCGCACGAGGCGGCCACGGGCGGCAACGTTGCGAAGCCTCGCTGGTCCCGCCCAGCGCACGAAGCGGCCACGAGGCGGCCACGGGGAGGCAACGTTGCGAAACCTCGCTGGTCTCTCAGCGCGCGAGGCGGCCACGAGGCGGCAACGGGCGGCAACATTGCGAAACCTCGCCAGACCCGACCAGCGCAGGAGGCTGCCACCGGCGGCAACGTTGTGAAGCCTCGCCAGACCAGCCCAGCACACGAGGCGGCAACGGGAGGCAACGTTGCGAAACCTCGCTGGTCCTGCGAAACCTCGCTGGTCCCGCCCAGCGCACGCAGAGGCCACGAGGCGGCAACGGGCGGCAACGTGGCGAAACCCCGCCAGAGCCACCCAGCGCAAGAGGCGGCCACGAGGCGGCAACGGTTGCGAAACCTTGCCAGACCGCCCAGCGCACGAGGCGGCCACGGGCGGCAACGTTGTGAAGCCTCGCCAGACCCGCCCAGCACACGAGGCGGCCACGAGGTGGTCACGGGAGTCAGCGTTGCGAAAGCTCGCTGTCCTGCCCAGCGCACGAGGCTGCCACGAGGCGGCCCAGGGAGGCAACGTGGCGAAACCTCGCCAGACCAACCCAGCGCACCAGGCGGCCACGAGGCGGCCACGAGCGGCAACGTTGCGAAACCTCGCCGGACCCACCCAGCGCACGAAGAGGCCGCGAGGCGGCGACGGGAGGCAACGTTGCGAAACCTCGCTGGACCGCCTAGCGCACGAGGCGGCCACGAGGCGGTGTCACAGGCAGCAACGTTGCGAAGCTTCGCTAGAATTTCTCAGGGTACGAGCCGGCCTCGAGGCGACCACGGGCGGCAACGTGGAAAATGTTCCGGACCTGCCCAACTACTCAACAAGACAAGTGGGATTTCCAAACGGTGCAAGCAGTTTTCTGGGCAGAATGCGAATCTGCTCGAAATGGCATTTGTCCCATGGTTGGGCCCACTTGGGGCCCTCTCAGGCAGGTGCAGATTCCTGCTGCTGATCTTTCGGCAATTGGCTCGAGCCGGCGCTCGAGCACGCTCTCCGGATGGTCCGGAGTCCAGGCCACGGCCCACCTCGGAGGCCGAAGATGCACTTTTGTCCCCCGTTGTTATTGCTGCCCCTCCCCCTCCCTGCCTTCTCTGCACTCAGTGGCCCCCAAACCTGCGCACTCGTCGACGGCGCCCTCCATGTCGTGCCTGCGTGCTGCGTGGACTTCTCCAGAGATCGCGCCCCGCGCGGTCGCGGGCCATCGTTGTGGGCTGACCCGGGCTGTGCCCTGATGCGGGGGGGTCTGGCCCCCGAGGCCCCACATTCGGTCAACAGGATCGGAGGTTGACAGACCCACCCTGACATGTCGATTGGCGAATTGGCTGTTTTCGGTCCGCGGGAGGGTGTCGCGGCCGTCTTGTTTGCGGGTCCAGGTCCGTCGGTCCCAGGCCGTTTTCACTAAGGTGAGGTTTACTGAATGGAGGTTTATCCACCGCCGAAGGGAACCCTCGGAGCCCTCTTGGGGTCCATCCTGGCCGGGCTTCAGAGCCAGGTCTGGCGGGGCGGCGAGGACCTCCAGCCCGGATGTGCGATATCTTGAGTCTTTCAATACGGAGGGTCGGGACGATCGACATAGGTACGCTTAGAGAATGGGTACAAAGATAGACAGCAGTTCCTGTCCATTTTGAACAGGACTCGCTGGCGGTGTCGCCGCGGTTTGTGTCCATCCATTTAAAATAAAAGGCCGCCTGCCCAACAGCGGCCGCTGGTAGTTTGGGACAGCATTTGCTGTTGCGCATTGTACCCATTTTTTCCGTGACCATTTCGGGCGTCCAAAGAGGGGGGCCCATACCAAGAAACACCCTGCTTGCCTCCAGGATGCCCTGGGTTTCTTGTGTGTGTGTGTGTGTGTGTGTTCGATGCTTTTGAGATGGAGAGCGTGACGCTCCCACACCAAAAATCAATGGACGTCCTGGGGTCTCAGGGTCGGGTTTCTTCTGGAAGGTCTCTTGTGGACTGGCCTTCACTGCACGGGGTCCCCGGAAGTCCCCACCCTTTCCAAGGCGCTGGCTTTCCATCCTGCGTCGTTTGTCGACCGTCCTGGGGCCCGTTGAGGGCCCCCCAGCGGCCGAGCGCGCCGAGACGAGCTCGTCCCGAGTCTGCCGGGGCCGGCAACGACGAAACGCCTCTCGGCGTCACCCCAGCATACTAATACTCTGTGTGCGTGTCGCCCCCACCAGGGGCGACGCGCGCACCGAGAAGTCTTTTAGCATGTGCGTCGTGGCGGGCGCTCTCGATGTTTGTTTTCGAGGAGGAGCGCTCGAAAGCCACCGAGGCGCCGGCGGCGGCGTCGAGCAGTCGCCCCCGCGCGCCAGGTCTACGGCAGCGAGTTCGCCTACGGCGTCTGCGGCGTCTCGCACCTCCTGCCGCGCGCGGAGGAGGGCCACGTGTACCTCCGGGCGGGGACGGTCTTCGTCGGCGACGAAGTCGGAACCCTACCCTCGTCGATCAATGGTTCGAGTAGGGGATCGACTGCAGAATTGATTTACGCCAAACTTGACTTTTCCGCCGAATTGCGAGACTTAAACATAATGTCTCGCAGATCTACGAACATTCTACGTCGTGTTTCTCGCGTCTTCGGCGGGAACACCATGTTGGAGTACTTGGAGTCAATGAATTCTGTGGTCGGCCCCCTGTTCGAATGGTTGAGGTAACTCGATGGGCGGCGGGGGTAGGCTTCGGAGTGCGACGAGCACGTGGTGAACTCCGAACCCCACCCCCGCCTCCCGTCGATGCGGGATAATCGACGGCAGGGGTAGGGTTCGGATGTCGCCACCACAGCGACACAACAATCAGGAGGAAAGAAACACACAGACACAATTAATCCTCGATTCCCCAGAACATATGGGGAAATATGGGAAATGGGGGGGAAGGCAGAAACCCAGAACATATGGGAATATATGGGGAATCTGTTTATTTGTGTGTATTTACTTGTGTGTCCTGGGGCCCCTTCAAACAAAAACGGGGTCGTCTGCGCCGACATTCGCGCGTAAGCTGCCCGCGTGAGCTCGCGCGTAGGCGCCCTCGTTCCCAATGGAACGTTGCCGCGATGGCGGCCCGCGTAATCCACCGCGTAAGGTCGCTGCGTCCTCTTGCGGAAGACCCGTGCTCGATCGTCGCCCCTCTAGCTCGGGCGTCCTCTATGGTTCCTGGCGGCTCGCGAGCCTCGGCATGCTTTTTCCGGCAGTTGCGCCTCGCCGAGAGCGTCTTCTTCGGGGGGACCCGAAGCGTTCCGAGCGGCCGCACAGAGAGCCGAGCTGTGACCTGGAGGCCAGGACCTATGGAGACCCTCGGGAGCCCACTGAATGCAATAATCGAAGAAATGCACCATAACACAAACTTAAGAGCAGTGAGCTCACTGGAAGCAGAGAAGTTGCTCTTGTTTTCAGTCATTTAGACAAAAGAAGAAACGCCCGAAACAGAACATTTTGGCGCTCCGCGCGGATTTCTTGGATCTGCGCTGCCCCCCCCCCCGGCGGCGCCTCCGGCGCCGCCCCTGGCGTTAAGCCGGGCCTGTCCTGCTACAGGGGGGGTATTCAAAGATAGTCCCAAAATAGTCAGTGGACGATTTTTTTCAATGTCTGTTGACCATTTTGGGCATTTTCTGACGATGTTTTATATTTCGTCCAAAATCCACCTGTAGGGGGACATGCCCGACCTAACCCTGGTGCGCTCCGCGCAGGTACCAGTGCAGCCTCCACCTCGGCGAGACGGCGCTGACCCGCGCCCAGTTCGCGGGCCTCCTCGGCGACGTGTGCCAGAGGCGGTCGGCAAGGGGCCCTGAGATCTGGGCGCCGCAGTTTGTTCGCACCGGAGCGCTCCTCCCAGACATACAGCGCCTTGGAATCATGAATTCGTTTCTTTGTAGTCTTAAGTCGGGCCTGTCCCTCTACAGGGGGCAACTTCAGTAATAGTCAAAAGATAATCAGGGGACAATGTTTGGATCATTCTTGAATTTTTGGGGGCACTTTTTGGCTATCTTTCATATTTTTTCCAAACTTCGCCTGTAGGGGGACAGGCCCGACCTAAGACATGCAGCGTCTTGAAAACATGAATTCGTTATTTTGTGGTTTTCGGCCTTTGGAGTCGCCGGGCCTCGGATGCACCAAATCCGTACCACCGGTGCCAGAGTCCAGGCGCCAGTGTTGACATGGAGCGCGTTTCCCCCCGCCTCCCGTCCCCCTCCCTCTGTCTCTCTCTCTCTTTTTTTTTTTTTTTTTCTCTCTCTCTCTCTCTCTCTTTCTCTCAGCCACGCGCAGAGGGGGGTGGGGGAAGGGGGGAGGGTTTCTTAGAAGCACCCCTGCTTCTTCGAAGGCGCGGGGCTTATCGATAGATGTAAGGCCGGCGCCTTCTAAGAAGCAGCCTCCTTCTAAGAAGCCCTCCCCCTATCCCTCCACCCCCTTGTGCGCGCCGCCAACTCTCTTCGTTGGGGGCCTCCTGCGGCGATTCGGTAATGCGCAGTGGGTCGTGCAGCCTTGAACTGATGCCTGGGGGCCACGACGTCGGCCACCTCAGATAGCTTCTTGGTGAGCTAAAGGGTTTCATCTTCGAAGCGGGCAGGCAGGGGTCGCCCTGGAGATCGTTTTGGCGTCGCAACAGGAGCCCGGCAGCAGGCTGTTTGACCCTCTAGCTTGTCCGGGAAAGTTGGTTCTAATCGTTTCCCAGTGCGTGTGCCGTGGACCTTTCCAGAAGCTCCCTCTCAGAGCTTCCAGAAGCTCCTTCGAAGGACCTCCTGGAAGCTTGTGTCGCCTCGATGTCCGGAACTGGTCGGGCAATGGTTCGAGCCCTCCCGGGATCCACTTTCTTCAGGAGGGAAAAAGACACACGGACACAATTAATCGTCGACCCTCAGGAAAATATGGGAAAATATGGGAAGTGGGGGGGAAGACAGAAACCCAGAACATACAGGAAAATATGGGGAATCTTTTTATTTGTGTGTATCTATTCGTGTGTCCTGGGGCCCCTTCAGTTCTGGAAGGACACCATCCTGGCGTCGCAGTTTCTCAGCTCGCCCGGTCTCGGCCCCTTGGGGCCAGGCTGGATCGACCTGGCTCGAGAAGTGCCGCAGAGGGACGGGGCCTCTAGGACTCTGGTCTTAGGTCGGGCCTGTCCCCCTACAGGCCTGTTTTTTTGTTTGTTTTTCTTTATACTAGCTTTTTGCTTTTTTGTTGTTTTCTCCTCCATGTGTGAACATTCCTCCTGTAGGGGGGCAGGCCCGACCTGACTCTGGTCGTGGCTTGATGGCATGCCGCAGCCTTTTCGCAACGTCGGACCAGAGGGGCAAGCGTCCACCGCGCCGTGGACAGAGGACGGCGGCGGGCCTCCTGTCCGTGCTCGGGCTCCGACGGCCCCTGGCCGGGCCCCAGAGCCGTCAGAGAGCGGCTCGGCACGAACGTGAAGCCGGCTGCAGGGAAGGGGCAGAGACCTCCGAGGGTCCGTGTCCTGAAGAAATCACGGCGTCGGGGGTCCTCCTCCTCCTCCTCCTCCTCCTCCTCCGCCTCCTCTTCCTCCTCCTCCTAATTACCTCCTCCTCCTCCTCCTCCTCTCCTCTCCTCCTCCTCTCCTCTCCTCCTCCTCCTCCTCCTCCCTCCCTCCTCCTCCTTCCTCCTCCTCCTCCTCCTCCTCCTCCTCCTCCTCCTCTTGGGACGAGGAAGGATGACGAGGAGGGGGGGGAGGGACACGCGCACCAGGGACGGCACGAGCAGAGTTCTTGGGTCGGCGGGGGGCCTTCTCCCCCCCGCGCCGCGTTCCCGGCGCGCGGGGCGTGCCGCCAGGAGTCCGCGCGCGTCCGCGCGCACCACCGAGCGTCGCTTCTTCTTGGCATCGCTCGGGCGTGTGCGGTTTTTTCTCGGCGAGACCCATCGAGCAGCATCCTGGATCGTCTGGCGAAGCAACAGACGCGCGAAGCTGAACAATGCACTGACGGGGAATTCACGTCCGTGCGATGGCACGTTTTTTTTATGTTTTTTGTTGCGCGTTCTCGTTTGCATCGTGAGTGAGGCAATCGGTTTTTGCCTTTTCGCTTTTGGGGCGCCTCGTGTGATTGCGCGCGCATAAGGGGGTACAGCGCGAGGGGGGGGGCGGCCTTCTGAGAGGCAGGGGCCCTCGTAGAAGGGCCAGGGTCTGCTAAGAAGGTCTCGCAGAAGCCTCCCGGCGCCTCTGCACAGGCCCCTGCCCTCTGGGCAGCCCCCCGCCCCCCCGCCTTCTTAGAAGCCCGCCCCGCGCGCGCCCACCCCGTGTGCGAGCCGCCAGCTCACGGGGATCCCACCCACGGCGGAACGCAGCTGAACAGGCACTCCAGGATTCGAGGAGGGGGTCGACTGCAGAATTCATTTGTCCCAGAAACCATCTTCACGCCGAATCTGCGAAGGTAGAGGAATCATGCCCTGCAGCTGCACGAACAGTCTGCGCCGTGCTTCTCGTGCGCTTGGCGGGGAAGTCGGTTTTGGGGTACCTCGATTCTGTAGTCGATGCCGTCGATCCCCTTCTACGGTAGGTTCGTGTCGTGTCGACTGGCGGCGACCCCGCCAGCAGCGTTCACCGTGGAACGCCGCGGGCAACCCATAATCGTTGGATGTGGAACGACTTGGACGTTTCGGAAACGGCCGATCGTTCCAGTTTGAACGATCCCCGCGGTGTCAGAAGCCAACGCCGAAGTCGACACGACGCAAACCTGCCGTACAGTGCCGTTTTTATGACATGCTCCGCGTGCGGATCATGCATTAAAAATGCAAGGATTCGGTATTGAAAACATCGATGAGTTCATGCATTACTAATTTGTGTTTAAGTCCCATGTATCAAAAACTGCCCTGTGCTCGAAGGATGGACCCCTGGTGGCGTCTGGGTGCCGGCTCCGCGCGGACGCGGGCCGGCAGGGGGCGGGGCGAGGGGGCCGGCCGCCCCGTGGCGGCGGGGCTCTTCCTCCTCCTCCTCCTCCTCCTTCTCCTCCTCCTCCTCCTCCGCCTCCTCCTCCTCTTCCTCCTCCTCCTCCTCCTCCTCCTCCTCCCCTCCTCCTCCTCTCCTCCTTCCTCCTCCTCCTACTCCGCCTCCTCCTCCTCCTCTCCCCTCTCTCCTCTCTCCTCCCCTCCCCCCCCCCCGCCTCCGCCTCCTCCGCCGCCTCCTCCTCCTCCTCCTCCTCTTCCTCCTCCCCGCCTCTTGAGAGGCCATCTCGGCCTCGAGGAGGGAGGCTTAGCTCGGGCGTGCCCCTCTGCAGGAGGAACATTCCAAAGTGGTAAATCAATGGTCCAGGAAGGATGTTGGGTCGACCGTTTTCGAGCATGTTTGAAAGATGCTTCATTTGCCATCCAAAATCCGCGTGTAGGGGATCTGCCCGACCTGAAGGAAGCCGGGAGAAGCAGAAACTGTCGGAGGTCCGCTCGGACCGCCCAACGTTGTATGCTGATGCAGCCTATGTTCTGCCTCGTGGATGCCTCCGCGCCGTTCCGATTAGCCCCAGGCCCTCTCAGAAGGCCCCTCACTCGCCCCCCACCCATTCTTCCAGAGGAGGAAGAAGCCAGAATACTTAACACTTAACGATGTACCAGGAGCTGGAGGATGTCCTTCTGGCCTGCGCGGGCTCCCGAAACCACCAGGGCCGTCAGATACTCGGGGGCTGCTGGGGCATACCTTTGGCCAGCCGCATCACGACACCGCTCTCGCTGGGAGGGGACCAGGAACGGGATAAATCGTTCCATAGCGTTCCAGAGCTCGGAGGCGGCCAAGAGGGGGGTGATGACTAGGAGGGGGTGGATATCATGGCGTGGGCCAGGATATTTAGTCGCTTCGCTCATGCCGCCGGCCCTGGAGCCCTCTTTAGGGCCTCTTGGGGGCCTCTTGGGGACCTCTTGGGAGTCTCTTGGGGCTCCTTGGCGGCGTTTTGGAGGCCCCCAGGGCCTCTTGGGGGGCTCTTGGGGGTAGTCGATTGCGGCTCCCCCCTCGGAGGCCACGATCCTCGTGAGGGGTGTCGAAAAATACCCTCCCCTGGAGTGGTCTGGTGGCTTCTCCCGGGCTTCTCTCGGGACCTTGCCGGGGTACTTTTCGTCCGGGGGCCCCCAGGGGCCGCTCCGCGCGCGCGAACTAGAAATATTGTTAACAAGTTACCGGAGATCTTAGCACGCCTCTGGCCCGTTGGGCCGGCGAATTTTCTCAGCTTTCATGGCGCCTCTTCTTGTTTCGTTGCGTCCCTGGCCCCCCCTTGGGCCGCGCACGTGCCGCTGAGCATGATCTGCGCCCCCCCCCCTGTTGGACGCCCCCCCTCTTGGCCGCCCCCGAAGAGCGTTCGTCGCCCGATGCATCCTCCAGAATCGCCGGGTCTCAGAGATACCCAATGCTCGGGGTGGACAGACCCTCCACCCTGACAGGTCGATAAGCGAATTGTCCGTTTTCGGTTCTCGAGATGGCGCCGCGGCCGTCGTTTTCCAGGCTTGCGCCCGCCAGGCTTTGGCCCGAGGTCGTTTTGACTAAACCGCGTCTTACTGAAGGGGGGTTCTGTCCATCCCCGCAATGCATTCCCGTCAGATTTTCTTGTCCTGGCGTCGTGGTGGTCATCGTCGTCGTCGTCGTGGTGGTGTTCGTCGTCGTCATCGTCGTGGTCGTGGTCGTGGTCGTGGTCGTCGTCGTCGTCGTCGTCGTCGTCGTCGTCGTCGTCGTCGTCGTCGTCGTCGTCGTCCTGGCCCCGTCCCCGCTCGCGGCGCTCAGATGGAGCGGGGCCGACTACGACGTGCTGGGGTGCAACTGCTGCTGCTTCTGCAGCCACATGCTTGAGCGCCTCGGCGTCGGGCCGATGCCGCTCTGGGTGCGCCGGGGCGGCCAGATCTTCCTCCTCCTCCCCCCACTCCCTCCTCCTCCTCCTCCTCCTCCTCCTCCTCCTCCTCCTCCTCCTCCTCCTCTTTCTCCTCCTTCTCCTCCGCCTCTTCCTGATCCTCCTGATGATTACCTCCTCCTCCTCCTCATCCTCCTCCTCTCCTCCTCCTCCTCCTCCTCCTCCTCCTCCTCCTCCTCCCCTTCCCTCCTCCTCCTCCTCCTCCTCCGCCTCCTCTTCCTGCTCCTCCTAATTGCCTCCTCCTCCTCCTCCTCCTCCTCCTCCTCCTCCTCCGCTCGCTTCGTGAACCACGGCTTGAGGTTTTTGGTCTTCTGCAGCCCCCAGGCCCTCGCGGGGCCCCGGGGCCGCCGAGAAAGTCGGGGCTTCTGGGGCCCAGCGTCGAGTTTCCATGCGCCGTTTGGCGCGTGGGCGGGAGCAGTGCGCGTGCCAAGGGCGGGGAAGAGGGGCGCAGCACGCCTGCGAGGCAGAAGGACCGAGCGCGGCAGAGCTGCGAAGCAGAAAACGGAGGGCCCCACGACTTGAGCAGAGGAACGAGAGGAGACGAAAGAGGCGGGGCGGGGGTAGGGGGACGCATACAGGGTCTGGGCATCGGATCTGGACATCGGATCTCTCGGCGCGCACCGTGAGCGAACGAGGAGATCTGGACGTCGTATCTGAACATCGTGAGCGAGCCAAGAGATCTGGACGTCTTATCTGGACATCTCTCGCATCGGATCTGGACCTCGTAAGCGGACCGAGCGATCCGGACATCTCCCACAGCGGATCTGGACCTCGCATCTCCTGTGGTGCACACCTCCGCCGCCCCAGGGGCCCGTCCTCCCGTGGGCCCGGGATCGCTCGGCGGGAATCTCGGGCCCCTGGCCAGGGGGGCGATGGCGCGGGCCAGGTCTCCGATCTCGGTCCGATTTTGTTTTGTGCAGGAGTCCCGGCCGTGCTTGCTTCTTGGGCTTCGGCCCCCTCCAGGGCCAGCTGTTCGGGCAGGGGATCGACCACAGAGGGCCTCGCAGAAGCCTCCCGGCGCCTCTGCGAAGGCCCCCGCCCTCTGGGCAGCCCCCCGCCCCCCCGCCCTCTCAGAGGGCTGCCCCGCGCGCGCCAACCCCGTGTGCGAGCCGCCAGCTCGTGGGGAGCCCACCCACGGGGGGACGCAGCTGGAAGGACAGTCCAGGATTCGAGTAGTTCGGGGGTCGACTACAGACTCGATCTGCTCCAGAATGCATCTGCCCACCGGGTCTACACCCATCAAGCGTAGCCTGTCCCGTAGATCAACGGACGTTCCACATGCTTTTCTTGCATGTTCGGCGGGGAAGCACATGTTAGAGGGAATCAATTGTGTAGTCGATCCCCTATTCGAGTTGTCGGGCCCCATGGCCTTCAAACCATCATCGACGGCGAAGCACTGTTCCCGGGGAAAGGGTAGGGACCTCCTTAGGGGCCGCGGACTAGAAATATATTCTCGGATCGTCGAGCAGATTTCTTGGATCAGCGTGGGGCCCCCCGGGGGGGGCCCAGCTCCGATCCAAGAGATCCGCGCGAAGCTCCGAGAGGCTATGCTCACGCGCAGGTGTTCGTCCCACTGACCTGGGCGAGTGCAGGCCGTTTCGAAGCAACTGCCCATCTCTGCGGGGCACTGCCTGCGTGTGAGTGTGAACACTGAAATCGGGGGCGTGGGGGGTGGCGTCGCTCCGTCTCTTCAACTTCTTGGATGGTTACCTCCGCCAGAAACGCGAGTAGGTACGGCAGGCTCGTGTCGTGTCGACGCCGCGACGACCCCGCCGCGGGCGTTCCAGGTTGGACGCCGCCGGGGGCCCAGCACCGCCCCGTGCGGAACGACCTGGCGATCGAAGAGCCGCCGATCGCTCGAGGTGGACACCGATCCACGCAGTGTCGGACATCAACGCCGGGGTCGTCACGGCACGAACCCGCCGTGCAGATTCGGGTGGTGGGTAATGAGGGGCGCTCTGGCTCGCCCTTGCCTCCAACCCCCCTTGCCCCTCGTTGGCGGACGGGCGTCGGCGCTAATCACTGGCGCGGCCCCGTGGATTTTCAAGCTGGCGGGCGCCACCCCGCGATTCGTCCGAGCAGGGGAACTATTTTTCTAAACACGCGATCCCCACGGATTTGTTAATCACAAGCTGACATTACGGGGGGCGGCAATGAAGGGGGGGTGGATGGAGAGGCAAGCACCCTTTGGACCATGGGGCACCTTTGAGGCTCGCATGGCTCCCCTTTGGGCCCCTTTCCTGCGACGCTCGATCACTCCTCTTTTATAGACCCCCTTAGCGACCACCCGACGGTGTTCTATAGTTCGAGCGGGGGATCGAATACAGAATTGATCCACCCCAGAATCGATTTCTCTGTCGAGTGTACGAGAGAAGAGAGTGTACAATGTTCGTAGACCTGCGGAGCATTCTACGCATCCTTCGCCCATCCGATGAGCGGGTTAATTTTTTGGGGCACCTCAAGTCGATCCCTTACTCGAGTAGTCCCCCAGACATGCGGCGTCTTGATTATTTTCTGTGCGGCGTCCCCGGAAGTCCAGACCCTTCCCTCGGGGCCGGTTCTTTTCATCTTGAGTCGTGCATTGACGGCCCCAGGGCTCGGCGAGGGCCCCCAAGGGCCGAACGTGGGGAACAAGTTGCCGTCCTGATTGCTTTACGACGCGATCACGTGCAGATCTCTCAGGAGGGGAAAAACACACACACAGACACAACTAATCGTCGATTCCCAGGAAAATATGGGAACATATGGGCAGTGCGGGGGGGAGACAAAAGCCCAGAAAACATGGAAACATATGGGGTGTATATATTTAGTTGTGTGTACTTCTTTGTGTGTCCTGGGGCCCCCCCAATCTCGTCGCCCCAGGTGGACCGCATCTCCCGGCTCCTCCTGAGCGGGAGGGAGGCGGGCCGCGAGGCGGTGCTGGCCAGCATCCAGGGCCTCCTGCAGGGCGGGGCCCTGGTGCGGCACGGGCTGGAGGCGCTCGCCGAGTCCGCCCAGCTGGCGCTCGACGGTCTCGACGGGGCCCTGGCGTTGAGCCTCGGCCTCGAGCCCGAGGCAGCGGCGGCGCGGCGTGCCCAGACCCCCCCTGGGTCATGAAAAACTCAGAACGAAGGTTCTGCTGCTCCCATCGTGCTGAAGGACCACAAGATCCCAGAAGCAGCACCCAGAAGAGTACCGAAATAATGTGGACCGAGCATCGCCTCCCAGGGCACGACACGTGAAAGCCGTCAAGTTTCGGTACTCCCTCGGTGCTCGAACTTCTTTCTGGTGGTCGAGGCTAAAGTAGGTTGGAGTTGGAACATCATAAGACGAAGAGTTGCTTGCCATGTTTGGCCTCTGGGGGCCGTTGCTGGCCCTCTGGGCCGTGCAACAACGACTCGGGGCGAAGAACCGGTCCCGGGGAAGGGGTCCAGACCGCCGATGGCCCACGCCAGAAAAGATTCATGACGTCGGGGGTCTGGGGCGACCACCGCCACCGAGATCCCATGGGGTCGGCCCCTGCACAGGGTCCATGTCGGTCTGATCGATCCCACGCGATGTCGGCCCTGGCCGGCCTGCTTCGGTTCGATCCCGATTCTCGGGCGCTCCGATGCGGCCCGAGGCTTGCATTAAGTTGGGCCTGTCCCTCTACGGGAGGAATAATCAAACATAGTTAAAGACAAAAAACATAGTCTGGGGACGATTTTTTGACAATCTTTGGCCATTTTCGTTTTTTGGGGGGTTTCTTATTTGTTCGTCCAAAGTCCGCCTGTTCGGGGACAGGCCCGACCCAAGGCTTGTATGGCGCTGCTGTGCAGCCTGGCGAAGCCGATCCGATTCGATTTCGATGCTGCGCCGACGCGGCCCGGCGTTTGTGGGAAAAAACACAGTCTGTGGGAACAAAATCACGGTCGGTGTGTTTTTTTCCCACAGACCCTGTGTTTGTGTGCGTGCGTGTTTTTATCCCACAGAATGTGTTTGTGCTTTTCCCACAGTGTGTGTTTTTTTCCCACAGACTGTGCGTGTGTGTTTCCCCACTGTGCGTGTGCGTGTTTTTCCCACAGGCTGTGTGTTTTTGTCCCCACAGTTTTTTTTTTTTTTTTTTTTTTTTTTTTTTTTTTTTTTTTTTTTTTTTGCACACAGGTCCGGCGCACCTTCGATGCGATCCGATCTCCAGGCCCGATGCTGACCGATGCTCCGCCTGCAGCAGGGGAGCCGGCCTCCGGGCGGCGGCGCGCCCGCGAGCGTCGCCCTGTGCCGGCCGACGCCGGGGCGTGCCACCTCGGGGCTCGAGAGTTAAAGCGGGCCTGTCCCCCCACAGGGGGACTTTCGACGAGAAACAAAACATACTCCCAAAAGTAGCCAAAAAAATCATCCAAACATAGCCCGAGGATCATTTTCCGAGTCTTATTTTTGCCTTTTTGGTGGATTTTTTGAGTATTTTGCATTTTTCGTCAAATCCCCTGGGGGGACACGCCCGACATAACTCGAGAGACGGGGGTCGATGCAAACGGGGGTCAGCCAGAGCGCCGGATCCTGCAGGATCTTGCAGGGCCAGGGTCGCATTGGCCCGGGCTTGGGTGCAGGATCTTGCAGGATCTTGCGGGGTCCTTCGCGTGGACCCGGGATCGGGTGCAGGATTTTGCAGGGTCTTGCAGGAATCTGCAAGGCTTGACTGACCCGTGTCTGGATTGACCCGGGTCAGGAGATCCCCGACCATCGCGGTGGGGTCGGTTCCCCTCCCAGGGGTCTTTGGCATCGCGCGGGCGCGTGCATTATTCTTGGCGAGGCCAGGGCCAGACAGAATCTGGGCCATCCAAGAGCTGCATGCATCACCTTGCGACTGCGAAAGAGAAGCACGCATTGACACCGAACGGGGCACGGGGGATGGACGACCGAGCGACGGCAAGGGTCGGCCCCATGGAGTCTCGGTGGCGGTAGTCTCTTTTTCGAGTGGGGGATCGACTACAGCATTGATTTACCCATGATTTGATTTCCCGCTGGATCTACGAAAAGCAGGCCGAGGGCCCCGCAGATCTGCGGACACTCCACGTCGTGCTTCTCGCGACTTCGGCGGGGAAATGAACTCTGGGGTCAATCCATTCTGTAGGCGATCCCCTACTCGAGTGGAGTCTCCGTGGCAGTGCAGTCAAAACCCTGATAAGGACGCGCGGTAAGGACGCAAGACCCTTGGAAGCCGAAGTTGGGATTTTTTGGGGTGGCGGACGACGAAAACCCCAAGGACGCAAGAGCAAGGAAGAGCACCGACGCGAGGGTGCCCTGAGCAAAGTCGCGCGTCCTTATTGGGGTTTTTGACTGTGGTCTCTGCTGGCCCCCCTTGGCAGGCCCTGGCCTGCGACGCGGGCGGCCGCCGCCGCGGGGTGCAGGTCTCGGGGCCGCGGCTCCTCCTCCTCCTCCTCCTCCTCCTCCTCCTCCTCCTCCTCCTCCTCCTCCTCCTCCTCCTCCTCCTCCTCCTCCTCCGCCTCCTCCTCTCCTCCTCCTCCCCTCCTCCCCTCCTCCTCCTCCCTCCTCCTCCTCCTTCCTCCTCCTCCTCCTCTCCTTCTCCTCCTCCTCCTCCTCCTCCTCCTCCTCCTCCTCCTCCTCCTCCTCCTCCTCCTCCTCCTCCTCCTCCTCCTCCTCCTCCTCCCCCCCCGCTCCCCACCCCGAGCCAGGGGCGGCGCGGGGGGAAGGGCGTCAAAGGTTAGCGTCACCACCCCATGTTTTGTTCGCTCGAGGGTGAAGTCGGGCATGTCCCTCCACAGGAGGACTATCCCAGAGCAGTAGAACGGTTGTGTGGTGCCCATGTTTCGTGCCCTGTTTGCGTGGGCCATGCTTGACACTGTTGTGACCATATTTCATTTTCCTTTCAAGATCCGCCTGCAGGAGGACATGCCCGACCTAACTCGAGGGCGGAGCTGTTGCTGCGTTTTGGGGCATCCAGGCGCAGCGAAACTTCTTGGGCAGACCGCGCGCATCCCCCCGGGAGGCGGCGTTCTGGCGGCGCCTCCCGGGCCTCCAGGAGAGCCTCCCTTCTTGGCCACGGCGGGGCCCCTCCCTCGAGAGCGTGGGGAGGGCGCCAATTGGGAGAGGTCTGGGGAGATCGGTCTGCGACCCCCGATCTCAGATCTCAGACGACACTTGTTGTTGTTGTTGTTGTTGTTGTTGTTGTTGAACTCTCATTCTTGAAGAATAATTATTGTTGATCCCCCCCACCGGTGCACATTGATTTTTTTCGATTGAAGTGCCACCCCCGGGGCTCGCACCTGGTTTTTTCTCAAGGAAAGTCTTCCTGCTCAAACTGTGCCCCTGCCCCCCGGGCTAAAACAACAACGGCTCCCGCCTGAGACTTCCTCGATTTTTACTCAGGACCCACGCTCCCGTCTGAGACTTCCGCGCAATTTACTCAGGAAAGGCGCTCCCGTTTGAGACTTCCTCGCAATGTAATCAAGACCCCCGCTCCCGCCTGAGACTCCCGTGCAATTTACGTGGGAACGGCGCTCCCGCATGAGACGTCTTCGAATTTTACTCAGGACCCCCGCTCCTGCTTGACATTTCCGCGCAATTGACTCAGGAACGGCGCTCCCGCCTGAGACTTCCTCGCAATTTAGTGAGGACCCCCGCTCCCGCCTGAGACTTCCGTGCAATTTGCTCAGGAACGGCGCTCCCGCTTGAGACTTCCTCGCAACTTAGTCAGGGCCCCCGCTTCCGCCTGAGATTTCCTCACAATGTACTCAGGACTGCGCTCTCGCGTGCGACGTCCTCACAAATTATTCTGGAATTGCGTTTCGGCGCTCAGGAACCACGCACGCGCCAAGGACGCCTTCACAACGTGGTATCTTCCCTCTTCCTTCGTCCTTCCCCCTCCCCTTCCTCCCACTCTCCCTCGTTCTTCCCCTCCTCCTCTTGCAGGGCCCGCGCCAATTCCAATGGCGGGCAGAGAGATGTACGCCCCCGAAGGATTGTCCGCCCGTTCCGGTTTGCCCGTACGTCTAAGCCCGCCGGCCCCAGCAAAGAGAAATAATCCCCCCGAAAGGGGTGTGATCGAAGACGAAGAGGGCGGGCATCGAGGGTGTAGGGTATACGTGTTGAATGACTCGCGGGCAAGTAAGAGCGTACAGCCTTAAAATGGTTGTTGTTGTTGTTGGTGTTGTGGTTATGGTTGTTGTTGTTGTGGTTGTTGTTGTCGTTGTTGGTGTTGTTGTTGTTGTTGTTGTGGTTGTTGTTGGTGTTGTTGTTGTTGTTGCTGCTGTTGTTGTTGTTGGTGTTGCTGTTGTTGTTGTTGGCGCACCTGCCAGGGCCATCATCCGTGTCAAATAATACCATGCGGGACACATTCGTTTTTTCTTCGCGCGCGCACGCCGTCGTCGTCGGCCGCGGGGCCCTGAATAGTAGCCACGGTCGTCCGCATGCCACGAAGTGAAGTGTCCGAACGTCATAGGGCGGGAAGCTGGGTGTGGGTGGTGGCGAAGAGTCGTTTGGAAATTTGGTAGAGCTTGAACCGGCCCCCCCACAAAGTGGGGTATTGCCCGCCTCCTATGAAAACCCTGGCACTGGTGAGAACGGAGTGTCCCCACGTGCTAGTAATTGTTGTTGTTGTTGAACATTATTAATTCTAAAGAATAATTATTGTTGGGGCCCCTGGTGCACGGCCCCCCTGCGCCGCCTAGGCCGCAGCTACATTTTCATCATTTTCGTGAGGAAGCCTCAGGTAATTCGATGTGATCAAGATCCGGTTGTTTTGTTCCCCCCCGCTTTCCCTTGCAAAAAACACTATAAAATGACATTTCTTGTTCTAATATAATCAAATTTCAAGAATCCCTTGCAAAAAATAAGGTAAAGTGGACATTCGCGCGCGCAAGACGAAATCCTTCCAAAACCTTAGTGTTCGCAGCGATTTTAACATAAAAACATCAAAAAACCAATGGTTTTTCAACAAAAAATTGTCAAAATCTCATCCCGCGCGCTCTTGCGGATTCGTAGGAAACCCAACACTTTTTAAACATTTCTGTCAAACGGGCTTTTGCGAGCAACTTTTTCGAACTTCTGCGACAACGGTTGCGCACCTGCCAGGGCCATCATCCCTGTCAAATAATACCATGCGGGACACATTCGTTTTTTCTTCGCGCGCGCACGCCGAAATCTCCAAAAACCATTGGGCTTGTTAAGAATTTTAGCACCACGCCAGTGTAGTAGCCACGGTCGTCCGCAGGCCACGAAGTGAAGTGTCCGAACGTCATAGGGCGGGAAGCTGGGTGTGGGTGGTGGCGAAGAGTCGTGTGGATATTTGGTAGAGCTTGCACTGCCCCCCCACAAAGTGGGGGTATTGGCTGGCGTCGCATGAAAACCCTGGCACTGGTGAGAACACTGAGCGTTCGGGTAAAGTGATTGTTGTTGTTGTTGTTGTTGTTGTTGTTGTTGTTGTTGTTTGTGTTGTTGGTTTTGTTATTGTTGTTGCTGTTGTTGTTGGTGTTGGTGTTGTTGTTGTTGGTGATGTTGTTCCCCACATGCTTCGTGGGGTTCTGGTTTTCTTCCCTGCCGCGCCGCACCCGCGACACACACCTCACTCTTCGTACAGCACAGCTCAGCACAGCACATCACAGCACAGCACAGCACAGGTCAGCTCAGCACAGCACAAAGCTCAGCTCAGCTCAGCACGCAGCACAGCTCAGCACAGCTCAGCACAGCCCAGCACGACTCAGCTCAGCACAGCACAGCGCAGCTCGTGGCACTGGCGCAAAGCCTAGCAAGCGTGGCACTTTCTCGACACCACAGGGGGTGCGCAGGCTAGCCACGGACACTGCGCAAAGCCTAGGCCAGGCGGTGGCTTTTGCTCGACAACACAGGGGGTGCGCAGGGGTTGGTCTCTCAGTCGGCCGCTTATCCCGACACTGGCGCAAAGCTAGCAGGCATGGCACTCTCTCGAACATCAACAGGGGGTGGGCAGGGGGTGGTTCTATCAGACGGCCGATATCCACGACAATGGCGCAAAGCCTAGCAGGCGTGGCCACCTTTCGACACCACAGGGGGTAGGTGGCCTTGCGGCGTCTCAGCTCGGCCGCTATCCACGACACTGGCGCAAAGCCTAGCAGGCGTGGCTTTTTCTCGACACCACAGGGGGTGCGCAGGGGTTGGTCTCTCAGCTCGGCCGCTATCCACGACACTGGCGCAAAGCCTAGCAGGCATGGCACTCTCTCGACACCACAGGGGGTGGGCAGGGGGTGGTCTCTCAGCTCGGCCGCTATCCACGACACTGGCGCAAAGCCTAGCAGGCGTGGCACTTTCTCGACACCACAGGGGGTACGCAGGGGGTGGTCTCTCAGCTCGGCCGCTATCCACGACACTGGCGCAAAGCCTAGCAGGCGTGGCACTTTCTCGACACCGCAGGGGGTGCGCAGGGGGTGGTCTCTCACCGCGGTCCCTATCCACGACGCTGGCGCAAAGCCTAGCAGGCGTGGCACTCTCTCGACACCAAGGGGGGTGGGCAGGAGGTGGTCTCTCAGCTCGGCCGCTATCCACGACACTGGCGCAAAGGCTAGCAGGCGTGGCACTTTCTCGACACCACAGGGGGTGCGCAGGGGGTGGTCTCTCACCGCGGTCCCTATCCACGACACTGGCGCAAAGCCTAGCAGGCGTGGCACTCTCTCGACACCAAAGGGGGTGGGCAGGAGGTGGTCTCTCAGCTCGGCCGCTATCCACGACACTGGCGCAAAGCCTAGCAGGCGTGGCACTCTCTCGACACCAAAGGGGGTGGGCAGGGGGTGGTCTCTCAGCTCGGCCGCTATCCACGACACTGGCGCAAAGCCTAGCAGGCGTGGCACTTTCTCGACACCACAGGGGGTGCGCAGGGGGTGGTCTTTCAGCTCGGCCGCTATCCACGACACTGGCGCAAAGGCTAGCAGGCGTGGCACTTTCTCGACACCACAGGGGGTGCGCAGGGGGTGGTCTCTCAGCTCGGCCGCTATCCACGACACTGGCGCAAAGGCTAGCAGGCGTGGCACTTTCTCGACACTACAGGGGGTGCGCAGGGGGTGGTCTCTCAGCTCGGCCGCTATCCACGACACTGGCGCAAAGGCTAGCAGGCGTGGCACTTTCTCGACACCACAGGGGGTGCGCAGGGGGTGGTCTCTCAGCTCGGCCGCTATCCACGACACTGGCGCAAAGCCTAGCAGGCGTGGCACTTTCTCGACACCACAGGGGGTGCGCAGGGGGTGGTCTCTCAGATCGGGCGCTATCCACGACACTGGCGCAAAGCCTAGCAGGCGTGGCACTTTCTCGACACCACAGGGGGTGCGCAGGGGGTGGTCTCTCAGTTCGGCCGCTATCCACGACACTGGCGCAAAGCCTAGCAGGCGTAGCACTTTCTCGACACCAAAGGGGGTGGGCAGGG